GAACATGGGTTCAGTTAAAGACAGTTTAATAGGACAGCAAAGGAAGAGATAACAATAATTATAGTAATAATAACAACAACAATAGAAAACAAGTGATGCACAATGCAGTTGCTCACCACCCAATGACAGACACCCAGCCCATCTCTGAGCAGTGATTGCTGACCCCAGCCAACTCCCCCAGCTTATATACTGAGCCTGATGTCAGATGGTATAGAATATACCTTTCGCCAGTTTGGGTCAGCTGTCCTACCCATGTCCCCTCCCAGCTTCCCAAGCACCCTCTGCCTTCTCGCTGTTGGGGCCAGTGTGAGAAGCTGAGAAGTCCTTGACTGCTTAGCAACGACTAAAAACATCAGAGTGTTATCAACATTATTCTCATACTAAATCCAAAACACAGCACTATACCAACTACTAGGGAGAAAATTAACACTGTCCCAGCCAAAACTAGAACATGTATCCAGGCAGAAAGTACTATAATAGATGTTTCAGCTAGTTAGTACTTTGCCTGCCACTCTTCTGGGCTCCTTTTGCACAAAACCTCCCAAGAAATCTAGCTCGGTTGCCATTTTGTAGCACATATGGTTCCATCATATATTTGCTTCCATCCTATACCACCCTCTGATTTGAGCCAAAATTACTAAGGGAGCTGCATGCTAAGCAGACACACACATGAATGCATCGCAGCTGTGAGCAGGGCCACTTGTTTTAAGCATGATGAAAATTCCCTGGAGAGTTTTCAAGCACTAGTTGCTTTTGGTGCTTGTTTTTTTTAAGATTTCAGAGTATCAATCAGAACTTGGACATGCTAGCTGCTGCTTTATGCTCCCCTGAAGAGCTCCAACCTTACAGAGCCCTAGAAAGCTAAATTACAGTTTGCTTTCGTTGGTAGGCCATGACGTCTTCGTCTTGTGATGAACTTGATCCAAAGAGAGGTGTAGATGAAGGTGAGAAGTGGACAACAGGTCTTGAGGCTCTGGGGGTCAGAAGAAAATAAATCTCTGTTTCAGGAAGGTATGAAGCACAAGATGTTTTCTGTAGCCCCAAAGTGTGATTGCTTTAGACTTTTTGCTTTAGTGTCTGTCCTGCTTACCGAGTGTCTTTGCTAAAGGGGTTTGAACACAGTGGTCTGAAAAGGGGCAGTAACAGCTGACAGAATGCCTACTCCAGCCATTGTAGTAATTTGTGTTTTTTTCATGATGTGTTGCTTCCACTGCCAGCTCCAATCACTGCAACATTTTTGTATCTATACGGTTTATACACAGGTTTGGGTTTTTTTTCTACAGTATTTTCTGTCTTTTGAAGAAACAAAATGCATCATTTTCTCTCTTAAAAGTTTCTCTGGATTTTTTTTTTTAACATTTTGATGACAGGTCTGCTTTTACTTACTTAAAAAGACAACACCAAATGTTAGTTTTGTTTGATTTTGGTGGGGTTACAGTGTAGACAACCTCCAGCCGGGGTGACCCAATCCTGTAGAGGCAGGCCTTCCTGTGCTGGTGTGCAAGTACCTGTGGAGGCAATGCTGCTATGTCCACCGTCCCTGTGAGAGGTGCAGCATGGCAGTACTGGACACTGACAACTCCTCCCATGGCAGCACAAAGGGTCTCAGCTGAGCCTCTCTAATGAGGTGGCTGTAGTCAGGAGCATCCCTGGAGCTGCTTTTCTCCAGTACAGTCCCTGCCCCTTTTGCCTGCCTGGTACTTACAGCCAAGTCTGGCCAGTACAGCAAAGGGTAGGCAGGAACTTCTTGGTCTTCAGGCTGCAATATAGCTCACCCCCAGGCTCACATGAACTTGACTTTCCGCTGCCAGCCCCATGCAGTCCCCAGGGGAGTCTGCAGAAAGAGGGCAGGGAGAGTTGGCTGTTGTGGGGGGGTGCAGGAAGTCTGTAGTCTGCCTGTCTATCTCACCAAGCAGAGTTGCTTCTAGAGAAGGTGGTGATAGTGTTCTGCAGAAAGCCTGTGGACTGAGCTGCTCCAAGGGTGTCAAGACTAAAAGCTGTGTAAGAGGAGCAACCTTTCTCACAACAGAAGTGCTGCCTTGATGACAGCTGTGTGCAGGATGGCAAGAATGCATGTCCCTGCCTGTGTCAGAGGGCTTCTCTAGAATCCACAGCTGTGATGGGAGCAGTTTGCTGACCTTTACATCCCTCTCCTTTGGCTTTACAAAAGCAGAAGACCTCTAGTGAGACCAGACCACAGCCAGGACCATTCACCTTTGCAGGAGGCTTTCAGCAGTACCAGTTTTCCAGTGACCCCTACAGACCTATTGCAGAAGGCTCTGCTGGGGTTACTGGGGTCACAGCAGACTTGTTAAGGCAACCAGACCACTCCTTTGGCAGGGAGGGGACATGGGTCCACCACTCCAGCATACTAGGTCCATGCCTTCACATTAAAATCTCTCTGTCCTGCTAAGATTTCAGCTTCACGCTTTCTATAGGCTTTCCAGGGAAAGGCACATCTAAATGTGAGCTGTGAGAGACAGATGAGTTACGCAGCCTTGAGGAGAAAGGTGTACAGCAGTAAGCTGACTTCAGCTATGGTAGTAACTACAGGCTATCACAGAAATTTGAGCCTTTCTTGTTCTAAAGACAAAATGTGAAGTTAGCTGAGCCAGCAGAAACAGCTGATGGTGAGAGGTAGGTATTTGTGCAAGCTACTTGGTATCACCGTTAGCAGTGCCATAATGCCTCTATGGCATGCTGCCAGGACATGACAAACTGTATAGTGGAGGAGCAACCTGCTCCACTACACATTAGGAATTCAGAATTAGCTTCACACACCTATATGTCTGGTGCATTACTAGAGAGAAAAATCTCCCCTTTCAAATCCCTTTTATATACTTGGAAAAAGATAAAAGTGTCTTAGCTGGTGCAAGGCAGACTATTTGACCAGGACAATGGCAGGTTTTTGAGACATTGGCTAGCAGTGTTTCCTCACTCCTTTAACCTGTCCTTCAAAATAGCGCTAACTGTAGTTTAATCTACAGCTAATTTCACACTGTCATTTTATGGATTGGAGATACCACTTCATGTCATCATTTTGAGCACAACTTAATGCACAGCTGGCAAATACAGAGACCTTTGGTTTGTGCTACATAGCAGATCTGAGCCACACTTGCATCTATAAAATGCTTTAATATAGTGAGAAAAGACCAAACTTTTCTTAAACCACCCTTTATTAAAAAACATAAGCATTTGTAAATATATATAATTATAAAGTACCAAGTGCTTCTTGCTTCCCAATACAGTAGGACTCAGGACTGGCAGGTAACTTTGGTGTCCATCTGTTCCATGTGTTAGGTCCAGGGCTGCAGAACTGACCAGCTAGTTTTGCAAAAGACAGTTAATCTCATTCCTCTGACATGTTCAAACTGATCTTGTTTCACCTCAGCTTCAGACTTCCTTCATCCTGCCTTTGACAAACATCAGTGCTTACTGGTAAGTGCAAGGCTGGAGCTGTAAGAACTAGCAGGATCCCTAGAAGGATGCAGCTAGGTGTTTTACAAAGGGAGGGATTTCTAGCTGATAACGGGGAAGAGAATTCAGGTACTGAGAGAGCTCCTCTGTACAGTGTTCCTCAGGGAAAGTGCATCCTTTGCTTTGGGCCTTTGCATCCTTTGCTTTGCTTTAGCTGGACCGGAAAAGGCCAGTCACAGGTCCAATTTGCATCAAGTTCCCTTAATCATCAAGTACTCAGATCCTCTTGCAAGGTGCATGGTATGAAGCATCACCAAGTCCTATCTATCTTATTTTTCTACCACTGAAATGTTATAAAAAAGTTCTCAGGTTGTACATCTAGACCCAAACACCAAAGCAGCATACTGGACTGCTGTGGAAGTACTGTAAAATGAAAAATCCAGTTGTACCTATTGCAACTGTTAGGGTAACTGAACTCTAGATGGGATCTTTTGTGTCACTACCCATCTCTTCTAACACTGATGAAGAACATCTGTCAGTTGCAGAGAGAAATGGAAGATGCTTGTTGATGTTTCTTACTTGGTCTTCCCCAAAAAGCCCCTTCCCAAAAAAAATCTGCAGAAACTTACAACAGATCCCTGCATTCTCTAAGTGGTCACCTTCTCCTGCCAGCTTCCACCACACCAGGCACTGCTGTGTCATTCCACAAAAAGTGAGCTGCTCTCTCAACGTTCCCCTATAGGAGAGCATGCCTTGGCCTGTGGAGGGTGCACTACCCTAATCTTATACCAGCAGGTTCGTCTTCTTTTGGAAAACCGAAACCGCTGAAATTGCACGAGAGATGGAGAAAATAACAGGAGCCCGAGTAAAACAAGCTTATCCTGAACGTCTCATCATCTGGCAGGGGACGAGAAGGGTGAGGAATGCTGCTGTGTTTAACTTCTGCTGCTTACTGACATTTTCTTTGACATGTGGCACTTCAGGCAGAGCTTTTCTTTTCCAGTTGTAGCAGAGGACAAAGTGGCTCATTGTAACAGACGTGTATTACAGATCACATACCTACACTTCCCTGCTGCAACGGAAGGATGCTCTAGCTCCTACCACCCTTTACTAAGAGGCACAATTAGCTCCAGCCTTAGAGTGGAAGAGTTGTTAGTGCTGTACAAGAACCACAGTCCTTAAACTGGTTTGTGATATGCGTGGCTTGCACTCCTCTCAAAGCTTCACCCCTGATCCAAGTACATGAAAATTAAAAAATGGCTGAATTATGATGCCCCTCTCCTCTGCAACATTTCTTCAGCTTGAATCAAGTCAGCTAAAAATCCCTGTTAACTGCATAGTTGTCCAATTCCACTTTGACCTTTCTGGCAGCATAGCCTTTCTTACAGCCCAGACTCACAAACAAATACAAGATTGAAGGAAGCACAGCAAAGGTGCCCCAGTTACTCTGCTCTAGCCCTTGCTTCCTGTGCAATAGGACCCAGATATCCCCATGTGTCAGCTAAGCGTTAGCAGTCATGGTCCCTGCCCACAGGCCTGCGTCCTTCCATTACTGGGCTCTTGGCATCCCCTTTTTGGCCTGGTTAGGCTTCAGGAACATATGCTGTTGCTGTATCTTCTGTCTTGACCAAAGCACCGCTGTTTGTCTCAGCATGGAGCCGCTTGTAGTCAGTGTTGAAGAAGATGACATAGAAACAAGCCATAGTAGTGCATAGGCCAGCCAGCACCAGTACTGGAGCTGCAAGGAAGATGATACACTTTTAGACAGTGAATTCACAACTCACCATGGGTGCAAAATTCTAAAGGTCAGCTCCTCAGTGACTGCAGAGCCTGGGTGATTTCTTCCCAAGGGCTACCCCCGAGGACAGCATGCAGCTCGCAGTGGGGCAATGCCAGTTTGGTAACAGCCAAACTTTGCCTCATGTAACAGTGGCATAGGAAGAGGATTTGGGTGAAATGTGGAAAGTTTCCAGGTGTCTTGTCCTGCATGACCCCAAAGGTTGGAGGTCTTACACCAGTGCACACAGTATATTTGTGGGACTGTTTGCTTCTATGTATGTGTGCACTTTTATGTGTTGGGCGTGGTGAAAAAAGTTACAAGAAAGACTGAATCAAAACACTTCAGTGTCATAAGAGAACAGGTCCACACAGGTAGTGCTTCTTGTTATATCATCCGAGAGCAAGGTGTAGGAAAGCTTTACTAAGGATAAACTTCAACCAAAGAAAAATTTGTGTTGAAAGAACCTTTTCTGAAGAAAAAAAAAGAGTAAATCTAGAAGAAAGGCTGTGCAACAAGGCCTGGAAGTAGTTATGTGCTCATTCCAGCAGTGTCCCAAATAAATACCTCCAACACCTTTCTCCACAGATGTCCCTGCATGTATAAGACCACAAAGTGAGTAGGAATGGGTACCTAATAATGAGATCCAGCTCTCACCTGATGAGATGGAGAACTGAGGGCTTTCAGACATGAACCAGTCAAACTGCTTTTTGAGGGCAGTTACTGTGAAGCCTTGTCCCCTGCCAGCTAGTGGAGCTCATTCTGGGGAGTTTCTGCTCAGCCACGGAGGATATTTTAGAAAGGTGTTTGCCAGCCTTTGTTTTACAGTGTGTGCCCTGGACTCTGTGTCAATATTACATAAATATGAACCAGTTGAGAGATCAATACCAGGGTTCAGCCTGCAGTGAAAAAATATTCGTGCTCCTGTTCATCTCAATTGCTGTCTCTTCTCCTGACCAGCTATGAAAGGAAGGGAAATGTGGAATAAGTCAGAATAAAGCTGTACTGGCGTGTTACAAACCCAGGCAGCTGTGTGTGCAGAAGCAAGGGAAGTAGTTTTCAGTCAATGCATTTGTAGTCTTGGCCTCCCACACTGCAAGGCAGCACAGGCTGTGCTATGTGGATAGTGTCTTCCTCCCAGAACAGCTGCCTTCTAGTTTGGTGAACCTCAGGTCTCTGCAGGGTGGCTGTAAGAGAAATTTTAACCCAGAGCAAGCAGCAGCATTCATGGCACCTTAGAGGTCTTCCCATTTCAATCTTGCAAGCCTGTTTTAGCAGGAGCAGCAGGAGTGCACCATCAGGTTGAGAAAGGTGGCTAAGAGATACGCTACAATAGGAATCAGTCTTGCAGGCTCCCTCACAGTGAGACCTGGAGGAGGGTGAGGGGTACATGGGGTGCAACCGAGTGTCCAGCATCATTTCCCAAGAACATACTTACTTGTCCAGTCCAGGGCTCCATCCTGGTCAAGGGCGCAGGTGTAGGATGGATCCTCAGAAACACGCATGGTGAGGGCTTGTAGCAGAATCATTAAAACCACACCTTCAATCTGGCTGCAAGGAGAAGCCAACACGTAGTCATGGCAGTTGCCTGGTTCATCAGTGCTGCAGACAAGCCCAGCTTCCCCAGCGGGAAGAAAGTGCGGCCCCTTTCTGGAGCAGGGTCCTTCTAGTGGAGATAGCTACTGCTGGCTTCCTCTGGCCCAGGCACTTGGTTACCTGGCCCTGGCTCACAGGGTGTCCAAGTCAAGCCTTCAGCACACCCCCGGACAAGAGGCCAGTGTGGCACCACCACTATACAATCCCTCTGGAAGCAGGCAGGTGTTGAACTACAGCTGTCACTGGCCAGAGATGTGGAAATACCTCTTAGCGCAGAGTTGAGGATGGAAAGAGTCAGGCTATGACTTCAACCTCTCCCTCATTCATAGCTGGCTGGCAGCAACAACAAAGTCCACAACCAGTGGGAGACAACAGCCTTCAAAGGCAGTGTCTAATGCCCCTCTTTGACTGCTCCCCCCTTGCCATGGTCACGTGCACGGACACCAGAGAGACTCTTCTCCATCTGCAACCACAACCCTCTATGTGTGTGTGTGTGTGTGTTTGTGTTTGAACCCAAGCTCAGCTGCCAATTGGATTTAACCTGCCTGCTTACCTTACAACAAAAATCAGGCCTGTAGACGTGCCCTCTCCCACGGGGTAGGAGCACTCCACAGCCAGCTCCATGGCAATGGGGTAGATGGCAAAGCCGAAGAAACCAAAGAGTGAGCTGGTGACAGCCAGTGTGACAGCCAGATGTCTGAACCGAGAAGCCTGCAGGCAGAAAAGCAACACCAAAGTCTCAGTGTCACCACAGCTGCACAGAAAGTCTCTGAACCCATAACCCGCAGGAATTCCCTAGGGCTCACTGTCCTCACCAGTACCTTCCCTACCTGTTCCTGAAACCTCTTTTACCTCCAACCCTCTAGAGTCAACAACTGGCTACATGATGGAGATTTATCTGTTGAGTTTAAGCAACAGGAGAGAGGATCAGCAGAATTACCTGAAAAGCATTGGTGTGATTGTGTCACTGTGACTTGACTTCTCGGCCGCTAACTTACAAGAGTGTGCTCAGTGTAGCTCCACCATCAAGTGAAACACATACCTTCCTCCCGAGCTGCACGCTGTCCTCGGGGGTAGCCCTTGGGAAGAAATCACCCAGGCTCTGCAGTCACTGAGGAGCTGACCTTTAGAATTTTGCACCCATGGTGAGTTGTGAATTCACTGTCCAAAAGTGTATCATCTTCCTTGCAGCTCCAGTACTGGTGCTGGCTGGCCTATGCACTACTATGGCTTGTTTCTATGTCATCTTCTTCAACACATACCTTCCTCCCAGTGTTTGCATTGGGTTATGAGAATTCACTGGGTTGCTCCAGCTCATTGATAAGGAAAACTATTCCTTACCATGTCAGACTGATGTTTGCAATATTGGAGTTTTGCCACCAAAAAAACCCCACAAAACAAACAAACAAAATACCTGAAACATTCACAAACCTTGGAAATTATTTTAGTGCCTAGAACAGCCTTGTCTGTAACTCTGGAGAAAGGAGCATGCACTTGTGCAGCCAATGCTAGTAAAGTAAAGGCCATAAGTCCTGCAGCCACCATGCTGGTACCTTCTTCCTTAACTATGCAATAAATTCCCACAGAGGAACACAAGGTGTCTCTCCTGGCATGGCTGCAGCAGCTCTGGTCCAGCAAAACCGGTAAAGTCAAGAATTGGAGTTCAAAGCATCAAGTCATTCAGCAGATTTGAATGGGTGTTTTTCATTTTACTACTTTGAACAAGGAGTTCATCAGTGTGGGATGAAGGGGAGGACGGAAAGCTCTGCTTGTTTTTCCTGACACAGTCTCTTGCCTACTCTGTGCTTTACCTGAGCCCAGATGTGCTGACTTGTGTTCAGAGCATCCCCCCAACAAATGCTGGAGTAGTAAAGGGCGAAATGCAAGGTCTTCTTTAGGCACCCTGTCTTACACTGAGAAAGGCATTGCATTTGTCTGTCTCTTCAAAGTCGAGCTAACTTCACTAGGATCTTGGCCTAGGGGGAGGTGTGATCATGCTGTATTAAAAGGCTGGATTTTTCAACATGCAGGAGAAATACCTGAAGAGGGCCTACAAGAAAGCTGGAGAGGGACTTTTTACAAGGTCATGTAATGATAGGAGAAGTGGTAAAGGCTTTAAACTGAAAGAGGGTAGATTTAGATTAGATATAAGAAAGAAATTCTTCACTGTGAGGGTGGTGAGGCACTGGAACAGGTTGCCCAGGGAAGCTGTGGATGCCCCCTCCCTGGAAGTGTTCAAGGCCAGGTTGGATGGGGCGTTGAGCAACCTGGTCTGGTGGGAGGTATCCCTGCTCGTGGCAGGGGGGCTGGAACTCGATGATCTGTAAGATCCCTTCCAATCCAAACAATTCTGTGATTCTATGCACAGCACAAGCCTGTTGGGAAAGCAGAGACCTGCACCAGCCTGGGTCCTCTCCAGTGCTACGAGTCCTGTGCCTCATGCTCAGGTTCCTGCTGCGTGATGGATCCCACTGGCAATGACTATGCTTGAGTGCAGTACTTGCACTCCAGCCCCATGAGTATAAAGTCTGTAGGTTCTGCATTCCTCTCCTGGCTGGATCCAAGTAAACCCCCTTACCTGCATTTCACAGAATCACAGAATCACAGAATAGTAGGGGTTGGAAGGGACCTCTGTGGGTCATCTAGTCCAACCCTCCTGCCGAAGCAGGGTCACCTAC